ATATATGGGCAGAAAAGCATAATTTTATAGTTGCTTAAAAGTGAAATCTTATTGCAGTAGAAGAAAATAATCATGTTTATTAAATGTGAACATACTATTCTTAAATCTCCACAAGTCAATGATTCGTTTTATTCGAGTTCTCACCTTTATTTTTATTCTTTGAGGTTTTGATTCGTCAACACACAAACCTGCGTTGAGAACCGGAGGGAGACACTAAACATGACATGTTGGAGATTTAACATGAAAATCTGAGCAGCTCTCATGTTTCTATTGGTCTTTCTATTTTGGGCAGCTACCGCTTCTGGCATGTGTTGGCCGACTGCGGCGCCTGCGGGACTTTGCCTAGCCCCTGGCATTGTCATTCTTCATTGATCAGAGGGGAGAGGCTAACAAGGTCTCCAGGCTACATGCTGCTTTCCGACTGCTGTAAAAAACCTGTTCCCACTGCTCACACTCAGTTGGGCTTTTTTAATGCCGACTTTATCTTGGCAGTGTTAAAAAGACATGCTTATTCAAGAGTTTGCAAGAAATTGAACAATCTGGATCACTTCTCTAAGGCTGCCATTATTGTTTCAGGTCTGACAGCCGTGAAAATCAATACCTGTGTTAATCAGTGCTGCCGCAAATGCTTGATCAGATTCAGATGAAAGGAACAAACACAAACTTGATCGGAAATTACCATAGCTGAGAACATTACAGGAAACAAAATTAGCAATTTTACCAAATAGCATATCTTCAATATGCTCATTTATATTTGCAATTTCATTTTATACTATGCATATAATACTGTGGTGCAAATGTGCACCACGTTATCCATATAGAAGCTTTATCTAGTATTTTAGTTGCAAACCCGTAACATCCATGAACTACAGGGGGTAAAACAGGATTGCTCACTGTACAAAGGGAAGACAGTTGTAGAAGGAGCTGGACAGTGAGAGCAGAGTCACCACAGGACTTTCCAGAGTCCATCTGATCTGAGAAACGTACTGCTCATCAGAATCTGAAGGGTATGATGGCACGTTTAATGGGGCCCAACAACTTTGCTTGTATTTAAAGCCACAAACTGATGTGAAAGGTCTGCATGAGGAACGCAACGTAGAGCTGAGAACGTCACATCTGGAAATACATCACGTATTTTACATGTTGCTCAGGTCACGTTTTATGGTTTCACAACGACAAAGTGATGCTTTAGAATCACACAGGAACCGTGATCGCGGCAGATTGGGTTTTATGATATGAAAGTCGTCAGAGTTTTCGGGCTCCCAGCCGAGACGGGGAGCGAAAAGTTGCAAAATGTTTGGGAACGTCCCGTTGTCGCTGTTGTTGCAGAAGCACTGCAGCAGGTCCAGTCCAACCTGTTTGTTAATCTAGTTTGACATTGCTGCTTTATTTACACAAGTGGGAAAACCCTTTGCATAATTAGGTTTGTTAACACTTTAGTTCAAATAAGCGATCTTCATCATGAATTTAGGTAAAACTATGTACAGTTACAGCGGCAAACAAAAGCCTAAGGTGAGGCATTAGCTAAGACAATACATGTTTAAGTGTTCAGTATTTGTTGACTTGTCCCTATTAAAATAAGCTAATACACAAAAAGAAAGGAACTTTTTAATTAGCTTACCTCCAGGTTATCAGATCCCGAGTCTTAGAGCTGACCTTTTAACCTGCAACCTGCACAGCAATCAGGCCTCCTTGTGACCTATTCTGCTGACCCCTCTGCAACTCTTTCTTTTCTTACTTCCTCATTAGTGGCTTGCACTCATTGAAGAAAATCCATTAGCTATCCTTTTGCTTCACACAGCATGACTCAGGATTTCTTTTCTTTTTTTTTTTTTCTGGTTTCCACTTTTTAATCCACTCAAGTTTGCATGCCTCCGAATGTAAGCCCATGTACGAGTCACACCGTTTACCCGAAGTTGCTTTATATTTCCGTCTTTGATTTATTGCGCACTTGTTTATCTCCACAGACTGCAGTTCTTCTCTTCCTCCTAGTCGTGTCTGAGGAACATCCAGAGCAGCACATGCATCCCTCTTCCCACACGCTTCTCCTCTGGCACGCGTCGCATCTGGACAGGATGAAAGCGAGGTCTGAACACATCTCTGCCTGCTCGAATCTAAATTGACTCACTTTAAACTCTGAGCTATGCCGAATGTCCCTTGGTTACAGACAGGAAGAAGATGAAGCCACCAAAGGGCTCTGTGCCAAACTATCGGTAAATTTGCCGTAGAACTTTGATGTGCAAAAAAAAAAAAAAAAAAAAAATTGAGGAGGAGGGTTGCATAATCACACAAGCGGCGAATATATGCTTCACATGCTACTTATTTCCTAAATGAATGGCGGTATTTTAAAGCAAAAGTAGCCTAAGAATAAATGTTAAAATTATTATTTTTTTAAATAAAGAAAAATGCATTAAAAGCTGCAGACTTAAGTTGCTGAATAGATTTTATTCTTTATTAGGAAGTGAAACAGGCAGCCCGTCTGGGACCTAATTGAATAAGAATTCGATTGATCTTTTTGTTACCTGCGTCACGCTAAAGCAGAGTGATGCAAACTGGAATAAATCCTACCAATTAGGTGGTAGCAACACAGCCGTGCCATTGTCATCTTCAAAGCCTCCGAAAGTTATTATTGCGCTACAAATTTCTTTCTTTGAAAAGTCACTAAATATTTTTGTCCCAAATAAAGCAAATCTGACTATGCAAAACAAGGGTACAGAAACGCAACGCTAAATCAACCCGTAAATTAAAATCATCTTTCAATAAGAATTTCAATTTTAATATGAAGACATACATGTCAGCTGATGTGGCAAAGCACTAAATAAGATTGGCAAAATGTAGCTGAAAACTTTTTGGTTTTAATATTGACCATAAAACTCCAAGGTGTGAGATTATTCGAAATGTCAGCAGCTTGGCAGCAGGAAATATCTCCATGTAAAAACCCGGTAACATCCCCATCAAACTATTGCATATCTGCCAAGTGTTTTAGTGGAGTAATAAGACATTTAGCTATGAGCGCAAGTACCATCTGTTTTGCAAATATTTCAAGCCTTTATCTCCTCTAATTTTAGTCATAATGACTTACAGATAATAAAAACTCAAAATTTAGTGTCATTAGGATGTTGCATACGTTAAATTCGGCGCGGCAGTGGCACTGACCGGCTTGCTCTGGTAAGCGGAGGCCATCTGTTGGAGGCTCAGGTCGGCCCAGTTCGACGGTCAATCAAATACAGGAACACCACGGTCACAGAAGCAGCTTTTGGCAGCTAGGAGTCAAGTAGGAAATGAAATCAGCTTTTCTATCATAAGAAGGAAGCATGAAGAGATTGAAAATGTCCAAGTGAACGTCTGCATTGAGCGTGGAGTTCAGAAACCCCAACACGACAATCTGCAAATCATGAATTTCTAAATAAAATTCAAACTTTAAGCTGAAAGGAGAAGTCTGGACCACTGAGCTGCATTCTCGTTCTTCTTCTCCTGAGCCCAGGTAAGACGCTCTGGTTCAGCACTGACTTGATAGAGCAATATGATGTTAAACTACTTTGAATAACTAGCTGACCTTACTGTACTGTTTGATAACTAGGATAGGTTGGAATGTATATATCCATGAATTGAAAAGATTTTTTTGCAATGGGCCTCAAAGCAATTGCTGTGTATTTGTACTACATAAATGAATTGAATTGAAATGTGTAGGATATCTCTGTATGTAGTGGCTCTTGATGCACTGACTGCAGCCTCAGATCATTTCTGTTTAAGTCTGTCGCGAGAGTACCCTAATTAGGGTCCTCGGTGCTTGCCGCAACAAGATCGGTTGAAAACACATGCTACACATTTATCAATATAGGCATATTGCACATCCACGGATCGGGAAAAAGCTCTTCTAAATGATAGAAACAATATTTTCTACCTCAACAACACCCAGCTTGAACACTAAGCAGCTTGATAAAAAAAAACGTAATTAGATGCTAACGAGGCTAACGTGGCATATCCAGTAAAAAACGCAACAGTGAAAGAGCTAGGTGGCCCGATCCTCACAAACTATCGATCAGAGTAAAGCCGAAGTCACCACGCTACGTGCAAAATGCAATATTTTTTTCAGACGATTTTGTGGTATTTTCTCTCAATATATTTTTTTACATCCGAGAGAATAATGGCCAGCAAAATGAAGAAGGTTTTCACAGGTGAGGAGGTGCTAGATATATTGACCACTGATAGCGGTGCTAATCTTTTTCCTATCGACTCTTCCTCTGATGAGGACAGATTGAAATACAAGTGATCCAGATTATGAAATTCCAACATCAGCGAGGTTAGTAATCCATTTTGCTATATCTTTGTTTATTTTTGTACAATTCATAGTATATATGCTATGCCCATCAAACATTTTGTGGGGTAAAACTGGGAGATGACATGATTTTCTTACTTAAAGCAAATGATAATTTATTAAATTGTACTATTACAACTGAAAAGGAATAATTGAAATGAGAAACCAAAATCACATGATAAATTTTTTTGTTAGAATTTTTATGAACAAGCATATTTTTATAACACATAATTTTCTTAATTATTTATGTTTTTATTTGTGTAATTTTGTTAATCTGGGACCCAAGGCCAAATTTTGTACCACAAACAAGCAAATGTTGTATGACAATAAAAATCTTTGAATCCTTTAGTTTTTATTTCTTTTCCACATGTGATTTTATAGTGATGATGGTGATGATGAGGAGGATGACGATCCACTGCTTTCTGGACAAGCATCCTCCAGTACATCCCGAGTAGGGCCATGTTCTTCTGCTTCCCCTGCACAGCCACATCCAGACCTTTTTCAGTGTAAAGATACACAGAAAAAAAGCGTCCAAAGTGGGGTTGGGGTGATTCAGTACCAGAAGAAAAATGGCACAATAGAGAGGATGAAGACCAAAAGAAGGCTAGGCTTTTTATGAATGAATGCAATGTGGATTTTTCAAAGGAACCCCCAAAACAATTATTAGATGTAATTATTTATCTATGACAAGTAATCATTTATTCTATGATAAGAATAAATGATTGAAACAGAACCTACAGAAAAAAACCTGAGAAAGTTCAAATGGCACAAAATGTGCCAAAATGGCTAATTTGGAAGGTCCGCCTAGATTTTTATCAAGTATTACCTCTCTAGAACTCATATGATTAATTTTTTTAATGAAACTTGGCACAGTAAAAGGTCAGATTGTGTAGTGTTGTTTATATTGAACTGTATTTTTTGCGTAATTTCTGCTGTATATCATATTAATTCACTTTCCTCAGTAACAGGCAGGGTGGTTTTTTGAGCTGTAACGTATTCCCTAGGGTCTTGCCTTTATTTTGATACAAAAACAATTAAAATAAACTCTGTAGTTCTTGAGATACATTCAATTCATTTTGGGCATGTTATTTTCAACCATATTTCTCAAAAACAGGCCATGAGTCGGAGAGGTTAATCGCCCCAACATACTAGAATGGATTTCACTTAACAGTCCTGTCAAAGCTTTGGCTGTCCCCATTACTGGTGTACTTTTTCCTTACACACATTTTTCTTCCAATCAGCCATTTGTGACTATGCCTGGATAGAGTGAGCAACCGGGTTATTTAACTCTGACCTTTTGAAGCTTGCTCTACTGTGTGGGGTGTCGATGTCAGCAGTCTTCCCCCATGACTGTGCAGGCGACCGACCCAGGCAAAGAATATTTGCTGATAAAGGTGTGACAGCATGAGTTTTGAAAACTCAGCTTCTCAGGGTATTTCCTTTAAATTCTGGGTTTTCATCATCTGTCAGCCATAATATTCAAAATTACAAGAAATAAAGGCAACAAGGCAGCAGCTGTAAGGCACCGATAAATCTGCTGGCCGGTAAGTCAGTGCACCCCTAGTACAAACATATTTATGAGAATTATCTTCAGACGTCATGTGTAACATTATTTTACATAAAGGTACATTGTTGACTCCTGGAGACAGTTTTGATTCAGGTGGTCAAGCTGAGTAAATGAAAACGGCTCAGAACACTATGCTATACGGGCTATTTTAAGCTTTCAGCATCTTGGGGAGAGTAGATCTTTAATCAATGCAGATATCCTAAATTTTGGGAGATTGGTAATCGGCCGATTTTTACATGTGAAGCTGATCTTATCCACTGATGTTTTCAACCTTGGCAAAGGTCAAAAAAATCAAACACTGTGCTATTCTTTTCTCCTGTTAGAGACGTTTGACTGACAAACCGGCCGACCATGTCATGTCTGCACATTTACAGTTAACAACATTCACCCCATTGTTGCCAATTCAGCAACTTTGTTGACATATTGAGCAACATTTCAGACAAAAAAAAAATTGTATTGTCCAAAATCGGAATCGGTAAGTTAGGCTTTTCAAAAGATCGGCAATCGGCCAGAAAACTGCAGTCGGTGCATCCTTAGTTTGTACATTGGGATTAACATAGTTGCATGTCTTTCTTTTTTTACGTTTTAATTCAGTAGGCTTGACTACATGCATGCATACATTGTAGTACAATAAAGTTGCAACAGTAAAGTCCATTATTTAACTAAAAATGACAATGCGGTTAGAAAACAGAATGCTTGGCTTGGCAAAGACTAAAACATTAGTACCTTGTCACAAAATTGCCGCCTCCCTCTCTGGTGCTGCTCACTGCATCGTCAGCTGGCCTGTGTTCACTCTGACTGCCTTCTTTCTTTCCGTCTCTCATCTTCTTCTACGTTTGGTTGCTGTTTTACGTCTGTCGCACCAGAAGTCGATGCAACAGCAAATATGTGTGTAATTTTCCCCACATTTAGCAATGGTTCGTATGTTCAGCATCTTTACAGAATTGCTGTACAGAATTGAAAAGGAAAGCGTGGTATTTATTAATTTCTAAAAAAAAAAAAAAAAGTTCATGTAACGAGTTCATCTGCACATCAAATTGCACATGCTACAGCGGCAGCTGCGTAGGAAGCTGGTGCAGGAGTGGTATTCGCCCAAAGCGGGGTGTCTCTTCTTACGCGACTGAAATGCAAAGCAAAAATAGAGGATGTGGATGTGAAGGCAATTTAGATTCTTCACTTAATGAGCGTTTATGTTTTTGGAGTGTGGGAGAAAAATCAGCACGTGTATAGAAAGAACGTTAAAACTTCACATAGAGCGGCCAGAGGAGCTTTGAAGGAAGAAGCTCCAGAACTGACCGGTGCTCCGCTATGCTGTCCCTATTATACATTTAGATATTTTCTCTTAATTGCTACTTTTATGGTGAAAATGAATAATTGTATTAATTTGTGTTTTCTGTATTTCCTGGATTCATTTTGTGAGCAAATGCTTTACATTGAGTCTTTTAAAGTGCCTGTTCCATCCATCCATCCATTCATCCATCCATCCATCCATCCATCCATTCATCCATCCATCCATCCATCCATCCGCGTCCTTAATGACCACATATAAGCGATCAATTAGGACAGCACTAAACACAGGTGTGAACTCAATCACATGGAGGATGTATATTTTTTTATATGTACACCACTTTTTAATCCTGGAGAAAATGTGAAAGGGGGCTTGTAGCCACAATTAAGAAGCAGCAGAGAAAACTAGAGGAAAATCTGTTAATGGATAAGTTTATCCACATCACATGGTCATCAATACAAGCCAAATGGATGTACTTCCCATTGTGTTTTTAATTAAAATGCACTGCAGGTGTTGCCTATTACTAAGACATGAAAGAAACTTTCAACTTTAATCTCCGAGATACGGTTCTGACTGTTCTCTGCGAGGATGAATGGATGACAGTGACTCAGTCCAGCAGATGAAGTTTCTGTTACTGTCTGCGTCCGTCGTCCGGCGCCTGCAATGTCACAATCGAGGCGCCGGCTGCCGATTTTGATCTTCAAAGATCTTTATGAGATACGTGTGGATCTGAAAACTAAAATTCACATACAATATAAAACAGTTTTATTATGTAGAGCCATAATTTAGAAATTTGTCATCGTTTAATTCATTTTAAGACAGAATATTTAACATTTCTGAGAAAACTTTGGAGTAACCAGTTTCTGTTTTGAACATATTCAATGAATCATTTGAAAAGTTTATTTCAGTAAAGTAAAACACATTGCTCAGATCAACTACACACAGCCCTTTATTTTTGTTACTTATGAGTTTCCACCTACTGTGAATGAATACAACATATTTAATTAAATATTAATCAAAAACATTTTTAAAGTAGAAATGTGGGCTTCTTTTTTTTCCTAAAGTTTAATATCTGCCGAAAGGTTATTTAAGGGTATTATTAATCAACTCCCACATTTTTCTCACTCAAAGCAAAATGTGAAGCATAACTCAGAGGGGAGGATGACCTGTTGCGCCCACACAGCTTAAGCTCCCAGTTTAAGGTTAAATGAAAGAGTTCTGGTTTACAGGGACCAGACAGAATTAAATAATTATATCATAATAATTATATATATACACATTTAAAATAGTGTGGGGGTTGGGGGTTTGGTTCGTTTTCTTGGCATCGTGGAATACGTTTTTTGTGGACCGTCAGTGATTTTGCCTGACTGTTGATGTTTGAGTGGAAAAGAGCCAGATAATAAACCGAGAGTATATGTGAGGGTAAGCAGATCTCCCGCGTTCCAGCAAAGGGCAGATGAGGCTGAACGCAGGTTCCAGCTGTCACTTCAGCTGTGCTTGCACATTGAGTACGCCGCGACCTAACCCTGTCATCCCCGCCGATGCACACGGCATGGCCGGTCCTTATCCTCTGTTACCCTCTGAAGGGTTAAACACACATGGTCTTTTTTTCAGTCCGACTCTTGATCAGACAGATAATGACTTTGGGGAACAAGACCGGTCGAGTGGCTTGAAAGGCTGTGTGGGGAAAAAAAGAGCACGAACATGGACGGCGAGCTTACACTATGCAGGAAACCAATGCATTATACATAGATTATATGTACTCAGAAAAAAATATATATATTGCAGAGCATGTGTTCAACAAGGTTGCATTTATTTATTTTTACATTCTGTAAAGCAGTATGTTAAGAAAATATGCAGATTTTCTGTGAATTCTGGTTTTAATATTTGCGCCATTCAGAGTAGCAACTCTGGGTAAGGTCAGTCCGTCTTTAATGTCACACAAAACAGACAAACCGAGCCCCCACCTGTCAGGTATAATGGAGCTAAACCTGTCCCTGAGACTGGAAACTGTACTTGTGTACAGTAAATTTAGCGCATGAATAGTAATAGAGGTCACCGTGTATAAAGACAGAATGAGGCAAAGCTGCTCCGACACCCTTTTATTAACTCTAAAATGTCAACGCAAATTCATATTCTATCAGTCTCCCTACATGTGCTTCCTTTATTTAGCTCCTTTTCCTTTTTTTTTTTTTTTTCCACAGGAAATTTAGAGGGATGCTCGCTCTCCGGAGGCGACACAATTTCCTGCGTCGTACAGTCAACATGTCTCCCGATAAATTACAGTCAGACTTCACGCCCGTTCCCGGTTGTGCTACGCATGGAGAGAGAGATGGTAAACGTTTGGAGGAAATGCCTGTTAAACAGGTGGATGAACATCCAAAGTGAGGCCTCAGGTTTACATGAAACTCAGTTTGAAAGGAAAAAAGTCTATTATAAATATAATGCTAAGTAATTGTAAACTTCGGGAAAAGAATAGTTCTTTTCAGAATCTTCCACTTGAATTGTGAAATCAACTCATTTCACAATTTTCTCCACCTCTTATTAGGCATACGTCTGACATAAATGAACTAAAAAAGTAACAAATTGCAAAGAACTTGAAGGGAATCAAAATACAAATCTCTGAACTTTTAGCCACAAAAAAAAAAAAAAAAAAAATTACCCACACCCACA